CAAATGTATGAATGAGGATCGTGATAATTTTAACCATTATCAAAATTAAGCAGACTTCAATCTTAACTTATTATCTTGATGTTGCTCTCAAACGTGTAATAAATAAACAGTAAGTGGTTAAATGTTTATTTTAATGTTATAAATCGATTAATATTTGAAGTGTTATAGGTCAAATAAACTTAATAAACAAGAAACTTGAAAGTATCATGAAAACCTTAACCTCCAAAATAACCACGTATGGAGCTAATATTAAGAATATTATGTTATTTTTCACAAATAACATATTATTGTAATGTAAAAGATACAAATGACATATCTGTCAATTTAATTATTCACATTTTTTTTTTTTTTAGAAATATTTTAAATGATTTAAAAATACCCAAAAAATAAATAACTATCAATATTTTGATACTACAAATTATAAATAAATATATATTGTGAAATATTATATTTCAAAATATATAATTATATACAAAAATAAAAAGGTGATATAAGTTAAACATTATTTACTTATGTGTATTATAACTAAAAATCAAAAATGTATTTATACTAATCAAAAAAAGTGGGTAAATGAGTATCGCTCTGCAGTATAAAAGGTGTTGAGTGAGTCATTGTATAGGTGGTGAGTTAAATTTGAGTTCAAAGATATATCATTATACATGAAAAACGATTCTGCGAGGTATAACGGTCTGTCAAAGTTTCAGTTTTATCACTAAGTATACTTTATGACATATTAAAGTAATTTATTTTACTTTCAGATACTACAATGTTGATATAATTTTTCCCAAAAATAATGCTTTTATTATATTATTTGTATTTAATTATATTATTATAATAATAATATATATATATATATTCATGCCATATTATTTTAACTTATATAACTCATTATCATCTTTCTGCAAATACGTAAAACAGTAAATGTAGAGTCATTTAGTACCTATAAATAAATAATATTTTCAAATAAATCAAATATATTATTGCATATAGTAAAATTCAGAATAATATAAAATAAATAAAAGTTTAAATTCACATGAATAATGTTTTTAAATTGTAAAAAAAAAAATAACATATATCATCGTTTAAATGAGTAATTTAGTTAAAATCGGAACTTGAAATGTATATAAAAAATAATTGCCATGACTGATTTTTGAGATTGTATGGTTTTAGTATGAACTACTTATAAAAAAGCTTGTATTAAGTTCTCAAGAATTTTGACTCAACAAATAATTTTTTATCGACATTTCAAGGAAAAAAAATTTTCACGCCTATAAAGAACAAAAATAGATTTTACCAAAATTTCAAATTTTATCGTATAATGAAAATAATGATATAAATATTACGTGAAAATTTCAAGATTTTAAGAATAAATATTCTGGTAGAATATTTTTTGTTTAAAGGTTGAAAAACTAATAAATGACTTGTACTTTGTTTTTAAATCTTAGGTATGAAAACAAATTATTTTATTAATTTATTAATTTCTTACTACAAAATAATTAGTACATTTTTGAGTTTTTATGTATTTTATCAAAATTCTAGCTTTAAACGTTTAATTGAGAAATTAACATATGAGGAGCTACATTTAAATGTTTATGTTATTTACGCAATAAATAATTTTTAATCGACATTTATAATTAAAAAAATTAAAAACATTTAAATTCTATAAATAAAAGCTATTAATAGCTTTAAAATGTCTAAAGATTTAAAAAAATGTCATCGTTGATAAAAAATGATAGTACCTATAAAAACATTTCGTGAAAAATTGAAATATGTAAGGTTATTTTTTTTTTTTTCATTTACATCAAAAAAACCAAAATTAGATTTGTATAAAATGTATCTTAATTTTTTGTTTATTTTTCCCGATTATGAAATTAAATACTGGGAGTTTGTGAGTTTATTCTCTCTTAAAGTACAAGATCCAATTTCATATCAAAAACCACGCCTATTTTTAAAAATCAAAACATTTTGTTGACAATTGTTGTGTACTAATTCACAATAAAAAAATAATACACATCATAGTAAATCAATACATTCACTACTCCACTCAAAATCTAAAATATTAATATTGCGATAATATATGATGTCTTAAATAAAAAAGATAAATATAAACACAATTAAAAATTGATATATTAAAATGTGATTCAAATAAAATTAGAAAATTTATTTTCAGGTAATTTAATTTAAAGCATCAGCTATAATATTAAAACTAATAATAATTAAACAAGTTTCGATCAAGAGTTTCAGAACTTCTTTGATTCATTATTTATAATAAATATAGTTTTTTTTTTCAATGTTAAGCTACTAAACTGAAGATAAAAAGTTCAAGCAATTAAATATTTAGCAATTTTTAATTTCATTTTTAAGTATTTATAAAAAATAATAAAAAAGTTCATAGTATTATTATCTAGTATTAACTTGCATTTTAATATAATTTTTAACTTTCAAATATGTAATAAAAACCATATTATTTAATTATCATATTTAATTTAGATTATAGATATTAATTTATGATAAAATAACTTTAATCTATTCATATACAATTAATTGATACTAATTTTAATTTCTAAAATTTAATTTAATTTTTTTATAGAATTTTTTTTCATGACTATTTTTAAAATTATACTTTTAAACTTTAAAAATAAAGATGTTTATCACATTTAGAATATTAGGCTTTATCTTGAATTTAACTTGATGAGTAAAAAAAAAATAAATAAAAAATAAAAAATATTAATACGTCTTTTCAAATTCATAACTTTTTTTTATTTACTACATATTTTATCAAAAATCGTAATTCATAAAAATAAGTTCAAGTAACAAAATTTTAATGCAGGCTTTTTCAACTGTATAATTCTAGTTAACTTTAAATTATTATATTTATTTTTATACTACATATTGACTGAAAATAATCTGAAATTTAAAAATACCTAAATTAAATATCTATGTTTCAAAAAAAAGTAAGCTAGAACCATAATTACTCGTTAAATTGAAACTTGAAAGTAGATTTTCAACAGATAAAAGTTAAAATGATCTATAAATTAATATATTATTTTAATCTTATTTAGAGAAGTTGAAAAGACAAAACAATAAATATTATTGTCAACGTTTAAAATAAAAGATGTTGTACCACGTTAATTCCAAATATAATAAAATGCATTTAATTTTGAGATAATAATAGTTACGGTCGCACAGTAAATAGTTCAAACTACGACGAACGTAAAATAGAGAATAATTTACTGTAGAAAACCTTTAAAGAACTTATTTTTGGCAAATAGGTTTAGCTGGTAGGTGGAGATAATATCTCAATAAAAATATTAAAAACCACTAAAGAATTTATTAAATATAGATTTCCATTATTTAAATATATTTTTAAGCGATACTCAAAATACGTCATCGTGATACTACAGTATGATATGTACTTATATAAATAACATAATATGTGTGATATATTTAAAATAAATCCTCGTAAAACTAACAATCTGTCTCATGAATAATATTTTATACAAACAAAGTATCAATCGTTATTGAAAATTTTAACATTTTTTTTAATTTTGTTCATAAAAATTAATTTTTTAACCAAATAGATAATAGAAAATTCTTTTAAATTCATTATAAAGTTTAACAACAAAAGATATTGGTGACATTTTTTTTTTTTTAATAAATAAGAGCAGATTAATTAAATTGTATAATTATTATATTTTATATTATGATATATAAATTAAAATATGAGTTAATTATTTTTATTTTTACTATTAAATTCCTCATATAGTCATATATTTTATCATCATAGGTGTTTTCTTATTTATGTGATAAAAAATATATAGAAGTAAAAAATTAAATCATGAAATATATCTTGTACAGACTGTATTTTATAAGTATGTATATAGCCATTAACAAAAAAAAAAAAAAAAAATGTTAAAAAAATTGGGGAAGTTACTCACCTGTACAATAAATATCGATGGTATCTCAACATTAAGTTTTAATGGTTATGTTAAATATAAATTCAATGATTATTATTGCATATTAAAAATTATACTGAATAGAGATAGTTTATCAGCATTTATTTCCGAAAATATTTTATAACTTATTTATACTATTATAAATTATTAATTTATTTTTCTAGTAATCTTAATATAAATATAGTATATATTAAACTAGTGTCTTACAAAACCATAGAATATGTCAAAATTATAATTTATAATTATAAATTTCAATTGTTATTATTTAATTAATAAGTCAATTAAAATGAATGGTATGAATAGAATCGTAATGTAAATAAATAAAAAAGTTTGATTAATTTTTAAATGCCATTATTATTTATAAAAATAATAAAATATGTAATAACTACTGGGGGGGGGGGGGGAATAGTTAAAATTCTCTACAATTTATATATTTTTATTTAAGCTAAATAACTAAAGCCATTAAGGAAATAATTTAAAAAAATAAGGGAAAAAATTAAAAGGATGTTCTAATACAAATGTTATAACAATATAATATGTTGTCTCTACTTTAATTACACATAACATAGTAAATATTATATTCAAGGGAAAACATTTTACTCTATCATTTTCAACATTAAAGTAAATTCAAATTATCACAATTACAATTGATTGAATTATAAATCGTAATATTGAACTATAAAAAATTTAAAAAATAAAAATATAATATCTTTCTTAGGACTTAACTTTGTGAAAACACTCAACAATCAACATGATCAAATCATACAAGTAACCCACAATGCATAATACAATTTAAATTTTATCGTTTATCATTATTCATCATATTAATTGATGTAGTTTCAAAAACAAAATATTTTTAACAAATTAATTGTTTAAATGGCTAAAGATAAGTATAGGTTTTCTTTTAGAGTACTTTATACATTATATTAATGAAACTAAACGTTAATAAGAATTTTAAGCAAAGGCATTAAATAATAACCAAAAAATATAACTATACTTTGAACAATACTATAGTTATGATGGTTTGGAAGTTCATAAACTCACCTGTTCTGTGAATAATACTCAGTGCTTTTATAATAAAATCGAATATGCCCGTCGACTCCATATTTGCATGGTTTAATTGATATGTCAACGAACCATAGACGGTTAGGCCACTGTCGCAAGGTTTAACATGCTCACACAACCGTTTCCTCTCGTCACCAGAAACCTAAAACATGATAAACGTGATATCAACATCAACGTCAGAGTAATAATCTCGTTCTATTTTATTTAGAACATACATATATTGAAATGAATAATTTATCAATATGAAACAATAATGGTTAGAATATAATTTAGAACTTTTTAAATTACTAAAATAATGCACACCTAATAAATAATTTTGATTATTCTAAAAAACATTAATTTTTAAATGTATGGCATGTATAACAATTGATGTACTCAAAAAATCATAATATGAAATATATAATATAATTTTATAACATTCCCTAAGTCTAAACCTATATTAACTCATTGTATGATATAATTAAGTTATACAGAAAATGTATAATCTCATTTGTTTTCGGTTCCTAGTATTTTTCTCAAATATTTTACTTATTTTGAGTTATTTATAAAAATTTAAAATTTTAGATTTTATTTTCTATAAATTTCGATAAAGGGTAAATAAACTTGAACATTTAATACGAGATTCCTTATAAATAATTTATTTACCAACTAAAAAAAAAAACATCGACAATTTTCTTTTTATATCTAAGATTTTAAAATTTAATACAAGATTCTTCATAAGTTGTTCTCCCTATATTAAAAAAAAAGTTTACCGAAAAGTCTCATTAATTTTTTATATGCGTTCGAAATTAAAATGTTTATGACATTGAATATTCACCCAAAAAATAACTATTTCTCATCAACAGTTTTTTGATATTTTGCTGTGATTAAGAAAATCTATAGCCAAAGATACTAGAAATTTTAATAAAATATTTAAACCATCATTTCCTATACATTATATAATTTTCTAATTATTTAAACGCTTTTGAGCTATTTATAGGTATGAATAATTTTCAATAAATATAATTAGTATAAATAATAAATGAATATAATGTAAGTATATCGTATATCATTATAATAAATAAATACTAATATTATAATAAAAGCATTGTTTTAGGTAAAATGTAAAAATTAAATTAACCTAAAGTAATACTAATAGTAAAATAAATAACTTTAAAAGTCATATCAAGAAGATATTATAAAATGTACACTTAGTGATATAAGCTGATAGGCCATGTCTATTCAAAATCATTTTTCATACACAGTTATATTATATCGTAAATCTTAATATTATTTCTGATCATCTTATTATAATAGAGATAGAATAATAATTTAAAATTATATGTACCTATTAGAATAGGTTCAATTTTTTTAAATTAAAAAATAGTAGAAAGCATAAAACAATTAAATTAAATTAAACAAAATCAATATCATATAACATATTTTTATACAACAATGTCATAAGTATAAAGCAAAAAGGGTTATATTTAGATATCCCTGACTCGAGCGTGTAAATTGTGCGTTTAATAACAGTGTATTACCAACTGTATTCAGATATTATAGTAATTTTTATTAAAAAATACAGTTGATCGTCTTCTTTCATAACTTAATTTGAATCTTTAAAGAGGTATCTAAGCTGTTACCTTAACACCATTAAGATATGAAATATCAACAGTTTTTGAAATAAGTCTAAGAAAAACTATTAAATTAATAAGACTATAAAATAAACTGAATGTGACGTATTATTTACAATGATTAATAAACTACTCAACAGCCAAAAGTCATAGAAATTTACTTTCTATAAGACATTTAAAGTTAATGACATTTTACCATGACATTAAACGACCATTTAAAAAACATTATTTTAACATTTCTTCGACAACAAAAAACCTCTATCCGAAAAAAAGATAAATTAGTTTCTTAAAAATAATTTTAATATTCAAAATTAAAATTATGTTATTTAATACACGTATACCTTAAATTCAACGTAATTAATCGTCTTAGAACCTTTAAGTAAAAAATATTATAGATCAATTTTATCAACCATATTTCATAAGCTATTAATTATTATAATATTAAAATTATCATAAATTATCTTTGATAGTTTAAATAGATACGTTAAATAACTAACCGCAGTTGGCAGTATATACTATATGGTATAAAATCTTTGTAAGAACCAACCACCATTCTATATATATGTATATATTAACTATAAATTATTTTTAAGTTTATGATCAATATGATATAAAATCTTTGTAAAAACCAACCACCAGTACATAAATATTGATTATAGATTATTTTTTAAGTTTATGATCTTTGGAATACAAAGTATCGCAATTAAAATATTAATACAATTTAATAATGTAAGTATGACATTAGAAGTATGTGTTAAGTGATAAAAATAACGACATAAATAAATGTATTTAATTATTTACACTTTTGTTAATATGCATGTAATAATTAAGTAGCTGTTAAAAATTATGTTCAGCAAGATATTTGGACTGTTAATAAGAAACATTTAAAATAGAAAGTTAATGTCATTTGAATTGAAAAAAAAGTTCTTACTTGACTAACGCTACTACTAGCTCTTCTTGATTCGTCAGGAAACATCTGTTTTTGTGTATATTGTGCATTCTTATACGGTGACGAACTTCTTTGAGAGTCTTTAAGAGTTCCTTTTGGAGATCCATTTCCTAAAAATAAATATAAAATCGTCATAAAAAGCTTTTTAATAAATTATTTGAGCAACATATCAAAAGTGTAAAAAACTGAGTTATATTATTTTTAATTTCTTTTTTATAAATCATGTTATAAAATAAATAAAACGCTTATAAGTTATTAGACATCAATATCAAACCTTAAGGTTATGTATAATATAACATTAGTATAATATATACACATAAACATTAATAATAAGTTTATGTTTTTATATTAAATTCAAATTCAGCTTTAAAACGATTTTATATTCTACTACATGATAACGATTATAAATCTAGTGCATTTTGTATACATATATTAGTTGTCAATCAATAGAATCAATAGCTAGTAATAGTTTTATTTTATTTCTTAGTTTAAGTTTTGTCGGAGCGATAATGTATTGATTTTACAATAATCTATGTTTATTTTTACTTTTTTTTGTGTTTAACTACCTTTTGAAAGAATGAATATATTTCAATCTTGAATTTTAAGAGTAGTTTCTAGCAGCGACTTAGATCTACATGTGAAAAAAAACTATTCATTGATAAAAGCAAAAAGAAAAAAAAAGTAAGATATAACGATATTTTTTACGAATCTGTTTGACAAATTGATTTTTTTTTATAATAACTCAAATAATACTATAGACTTGATTTTTCACCAACAATTTATGTTAAAATTTTCTATCTGAATACAAATATCAAATAATTTCAATTATTTTTAGTTTTATTTATAGACATATTAAATTTTTGATTTTTAAATTTATTTATTTTTTTAATTTATATGTATAACAAGTTTTGTTTTAGAGTAAAAAAATTTAATATAAGATTCCTTATAAGTTTTATCAACTTTAAAATAAAGATAATACATTAATAACTAATAAACATAAAGCCGAATATATTTTTAAATTAATTATTGAAGTTAACATTTTTACAACATAAAATATTCATTTTACACATATTAAATATATTTCTATTTTTTTTTTTCAATTCATTTATACAATTTGTAAAACTATTCATTACAAGAATATAAGCTATAAAAAATATAACATGAATTACATGAAAAAAAGAAGTAACCCAACGGTTACACTTTATATATGATTTTTTTTTTTTTTTTTAATTTTGTATAAATATTTTTTTTTTGGGGAGATAAGATAGAATAATATATCGAGTTTTTAGATCACGCATCATCCTCTCTTAAGCCTCGTTTGGAGGTTTCCAGAAATTGAGTCTGAGTCAAGAGCTGAGATTATTGGGTTAGGGTAAAATTTAAATAGATTTCTCTTTAAACAATTTATGTTATTTCGTAATTATAATTCCAAAAATATTATTATTAGAAACTTGAAATACAACACTTTTAACTAAAATTATAATTTGTTTTACACACTGAAATTTTCAATATTAAGTCTAATTATAAGTCACTTATAAAAATTTGAAATTTTTAAAAATATTAATAAAATGTTTATAGCTTGATAAAAAATTTTTAAATTAAATACAAAATTGTATATACATTTTTCGTAAAACAATTTAAATGCAGAATAATTTCTATAGATATTTTAAGCTAAAATGTCTATGAAATTTGTTATAAATAACAGTATAAGATTATTGTTACTAAAAAAAGTCTGTATATTATTATTTACTATTTACAATGAAATATTCTAAGTATTTAGAATCTATTTATTTTACGAACCCATCCAAACAATTCTATGTTATGTCAATAACCAATTTTATGTTACGATTTAATTACAGTTAAATATTTACATTAGATAATATTAATATAACAATAATAATTAAAATTTAATACATGAAATTTATTCCCAAAATAAATTCAACCTTCAATTCACTATATTACTTTAATAGAAAAATAAAATTTCCTTAAAAATATAAACGAACAGTATCTAGTCCGAATCATTTTCCGTATGCAAATTTATCAATAAATTTAAATTTAGACGAATTCACATGCATTATAGTCGCCTAATCAATGACGAAGTACACTTGATATCTACTACATAGTAGAGTGAATATGATATTTTTTTTTATTTTTGAGTAAAAACTTAAAAGCTTAAAAATAAGGTTAAGAAATTTAAAAATACCAAAAATACAAAAAAATTAATTTTTCTCTTTAGTTTGGCAATATTAAATGTTTAAATGAAAAATAATTATTTTTTCTTTAACAATTGTAGTTATTATGTTGTAAATTAAAAAATATTGGTAGTAAAAACTTGAAAATTGCTGCCATTGCATAAATTATTTTCTATACATTATGAAATTTTCTAAATGTTTGAACTGATTTAAAAATATTTAAAGCGTATGCCAGTGTATAATATCCTTAGAAATTAAGTACTCAAGTGATACCATCTATTCTCAGTATTGTTTTTCATAAAATGTTTTGCATATTTTATCATTAAATTTAAATCTAAAATGTTCATTACAATGACTTACTCAATAAAGAGGGGACTTCACATATTTATATTTATAAAACCATATACGCTGCACTTCGTTTAAAGCAATTTATTGTGCATTATGTTAAAATAAAACAAACATTTATTTTTTATAATACTTAATAGCTTCATTATGGTTTATGACATACTAAATAAACAAAATTTATTAATATTAAATTTGAGTATCAATATGTTATACTGCACATATTTAATTTCCAAACTTAATTTGCGACAAATACAAATGTTCTGTTTTATTCTCATTACTAATAAATATAAGTAAAATAAAGAATCTCTTTTTACTATGACAAAATTTTAATGTGGTTTTTAAAAAAAAAAAAAGAGTGAACGATTATGTTAAAACAAAACGTGTATAAAATTATATTACAACATGTGCGTCGGACAATGTACACATTTTAGTTATGATGGATTACAAATGAAATGCATGCTCTGAAAATAAATATAAGCAGTAACAATACCTACAATTTTGACTGTTAATAAAGATAACAATAAATTCTAAGACATTCATGCTATAAAAAAAAAGAATAATAATAACTAGTACTATTAAAAATTGAATAATATTTTTATAAAGCTATTTTAAATTATGTTTATTATAAAAGCGAAAAATCTAGGAATAATCAGGTACAATTAATGGGTATCAATTTTTTAATTATTTTCAGTCTAAGTCGTCTAGCATTACTCGCATTAACACTATTTATTATTATATAAAATTTAAATAACACTTCATGCAAATTAATGTAAGCTTAATGAACTAAAGTAATAATGAAATGTATTAAACAGTAAATTTTTCATTTAAAGGATTTTTAAGATCATATTTTCAATATATATTAATTTAATTAATTTAAACATGTAATTTAATTTTAAAAAATCATAGTATTTAATATAATGAAAATTTGGTTTACATTTTATCAATGTTATTTACCATACTAAAATATATGTTGGTAATATTAATAATCATAAATAACATAATAATTAATATTGTTAATGAATATTATGTAATTAAAACGCCAACTCATTATCAAAAAATGTTAATTTATGATTTTTCAACTAAAAATTATAAAAAGAAATCTTCTATTCAATTTTTTATATCTTAATAAGAAATATAAATATTATAAAACTAAAATATAATACACAAATTTAAATATTTTAAATAATATACGTATTTAAAACAAATGTATAATACATTTATACTGATATAATATTGTGCAGCTTTTACTAACATTATTCTTATCAATAGGTAAAATTGTAATTAGTATAAAATTTAATTCGATATAAAAGCATTATTAATTTTTCTGAAAACATATGTTTGAGATTGTTTGAGATTAAAGATTTGTAACGGCTTTAGTCAGTTCAAAAAAAAAAACTAAATATTCACCACTTTTTTAAGTAGAATAATTTTTGAAAATTAATACGATCACAAGATAACAATTTTTTTCTTTTAACTAATCTAAAAATAATGACATTTCCAAAATTCAAAATAGTATTTCATTTATAAATTTAAATTGTTTTTTAATAATTCAAACATTCAAACACTGCAGAAGTACAATTATAAAATAAAGAAATTACAAAGATTATAAAATTTAATACTTATATCTTTAATACGTTTAATTAATTTTAGTATTTTGATTTATTATGTGTTAATAATATAAAAAAAATTGTACAATTTAAATTTCTAGTAAAAATAATAACAATCTTTAAATAGGTTAACTGGCATTTAGTTAACATTTAGTATTTATTTCAGAGGAATTTCAAGATACTTTAACAAATTATCAATAGAAAAATAATTATTAGGTTATTTTTTAAATGGTCAACCCATTATGTCAAGATAAAATAAATAAATATTTGTAATTATTCGGATATTAAATGGGTTACAGCTTTCATTTTATACTTATTTATAATATTTTGATAAGCCTAAAATAACTGAATAAATATGCACTTATTAAATTTTGAGCCTAGTTAACATTATACATATTATAAAATATAACCTTTAATTCAAATTTCAAAAGGTACACAGCTTAAAATTTAGAAACTTAAACATATTAACATTAAAAATACTATTTTAAACATTAAATATTTTATTTTTGAATAATTAATTTATAGATATCTAAATACAATTTATTAAATATTAAAATGTTAGACAGTACTAAAATCTGTGATCAAAAATAATTATAAAAGGTAAAATATTTAGTTTCTATTTTTTGTTTTATTTTTTTATTTTAATTATTGACTTGGAAATAAACGATGAGAGGAACACAATCCAGTAAACATTAACAAGTGATCAAAAAGTGTGAACGTCTATACAAATAACGACATTTACAAACAATAGAACTCGCGAGTTTAATCTATACATACAATTTTAAGAATAATGTTTTCAAAAATAATGATTTGAAAAAAGTTTTCATTAAAATAAAGAGGAATCTTAAATGTCAATGTTTCGAAATATTTTATTATTTTTTTTTTTTTTTTTTACATATATAAATTGATTCATAGTTCACAAAATTATTCATTTATTAATAAAGTATACTATATTCTGTCCAATCT